GATGGACTGCTTCATCGCGTGAGCACCAATCACACTGGGCAGCAAATAAACCAACTGGTACTTCCTGCTGAATTCCGTACAGTTTTCCTCAAATCACTGCACGATGATCTTGGGCACTTAGGAGTGGAAAGAACCACAGACATGCTCAGAAGTAGATTTTTCTGGCCAAAAATGGCCTCAGCTGTGGAACTATACATACAAAACTGTGGAGAGTGTGTCCTGCGGAAAACACCAAGTCAAAGAGCAGCTCCGTTGCATCAGATTGTGAGCACTGGACCTATGGAGTTAGTGTGCATAGACTTCCTTTCTATGGAACCAGACTCAAGGGGAATAAGCAATGTACTCGTGGTAACAGACCACTTCACGAGGTATGCACAAGCCTTTCCCACTAAAAATCAAACTTCTCTCACTGTTGCAAAGATCCTTGTGGAGAAATACTTCATTCATTATGGATTGCCGTCACGCATTCACTCTGATCAAGGCAGAGACTTTGAGTCGAGACTCATTAAAGACATACTGAAGATTTTGGGGATACGCAAATCCCGAACAACCCCGTATCACCCTCAGGGCGACCCACAACCTGAACGGTTTAATCGTACCCTGCTTTCAATGCTTGGTACACTCAGTCAAGAGAAGAAAAAGCAGTGGAGTCAGCATGTCACTTACCTTGTACATGCATATAACAGCACAAAATGTGACTCCACAGGATACTCTCCGTATTTCCTGATGTTCGGGAGAGAAGCTAAACTGCCTGTTGATCTATGCTTTGGAACAAGTCCTGATGGAAACGGAGAATTACAACACTCTGCCTATGTCACAAAGCTTAAGAAAGAACTTCAAGATGCTTACAGAATGGCAGCTGAAGTTTCAACAAAATCTCACCTCAAGAACAAAAAGGCCTATGATAAAAGATTGGGATACCAACACCTTGAGCCTGGAGATCGAGTTTTAATAAAAAATCTCGGATTGAAAGGAAAACACAAACTTGAGAATCGTTGGTGTGATGTCCCTTACATCATTCTGCAACAACTGCCAAACCTGCCGGTTTACAAGTTGAAACCCCAAAATGGCACTGGCAAAGTCAAGACACTCCACAGGGACCATCTGTTGCCTGTGGGGGATCTTGTGAGAATCCCTATGAGAGTTGAAGAAAAGGATGAGGTGCAAAGAAGGCCGCGCACTAGACAGAAATTGACAAGGGAACCTACTCATGACCAAAATTCAGTTCGGCTGGAAAGTGAACTTTCACCCGAATCTTCAGATGTTGAATATTTCCATCCTCGGCGATCGTACCGAACGTACTTGGAAAACATGCTGAGACAAAGAATTGAAACCAATCAAGACTCACCCGAAGAAAGTGGTGAAGAAAACCCGGTTCAGGACGAACAAAGACCGGAAAATGTCCATGAATCAGAGTCAGAGCCTGAACCTGTCTCGAGTGATGATGAAGACCTATGTCGAAGTACACAGAATACACATACACCTAGGCCACGACGAACGGTTAAACCTGTCGTGAGACTCACATATGACCGACCAGGCAGACCTACTGATCAACCTCTTACAATAGTTCATAGAGGTGTTACTATTCATATTGGTAAAAACTAGTTGCACTATTCCCATAGTCTTGGTCCGATGTGGGCATCAGACATTTAGAAGGGGGAGGGTGTAACGAGGTTAAAATATGATCAGTTTCATGGTTTAAAAAGTATTAATAATTTAGATTAAGTTGTATAAGTACATTTCATTTATGTATTAATGTGTTTAAAATTGTTTAAAAGTATAAGAGTAAGTTAAAAGAGGTATTTTTGCAATATTGTTAATGTATTTTATTTTGAAGG